CAACCTCGTGCAACGCGCGTCTAGTGGCTGGCGCTAGGCGTCACGTAGGCTTCGCAGCCCCGCCTCTCCGCCGATCCCCCCCCTTAAGGTAGCAGACGCCTAGTCGGCCAGACTTCTAATTTCCGTTGCCAGCATCGTTGCCGTTCGCTAGGGCGTCGTTTAGGTCGATGATGTCCTTGGTATCTATTGGCACATCGTGCCAAAAATCTACGAAATTTTTTGGGGCAGCCGACTGTCGGGCAGCCCCGACGCCGACGAGCACGAAGCTCGCCAGCTGCGCGACATGGACGTACCGCGTGCTGAGGCGCTCGAGAGTAGCAACACGCGCAGCCCGTGTCGTCGGCGCTTTGGGAGAGAACCTGACTGCTCGATTTTCATGCACCGGATTCAGGTACTCGGCAGCCCAGCTTGTGCAACGAGAACTCCCCGATTTCCCGGCGTACGCGACCAAGCCTCATGTTTGCGAGCCACCCGACTCGGAACGATTCCACGGCCCCGGGGATCGTGCCATCTTCGTCGAACTGATCTTTTGCGTTGGCCCGGCGCTGCCGCCGTCGACGGCCGCGTACGGCCTCCGTGTAGGTCAGCGAGGTCCATGCGATCGAACATTCGAGCGAACCGTACGACTACCCCGACGACATCGGGTCCGAGCTGCGAGACGGATTCTCTACTCGCTGGACGGCCCCTTTGGCTGTAGCTCTGTTCGACGCGTTCCTAGCGGCCGAACCGGAGTTTCGCCAAGGCCACTTCCGCATCGACCTAGGCGAGTCGGCGAAAACCAACTGGCCGTTGGCTATGCACTGCGTCGTGATCGCGGCTTTGCGCGTAGCAGCAGACCAGAGCAGCGTGGCTCCACTCAGCGACTACCAGCTCCAGCAAGGTTACCTACAGTTCCGCCCCTTTTTCCACGACGTCACGATCACGGACCAGCTCGTTACGCCAATCATCGACCAGATGCGGCAGTTGCCGCTCCCTCTAACCATTCGAGAAGAAACCCATCGGCTGCTTCAGATCTTCGGCGACGTCGACGATGCCGGATACGCTTACGGGCTCTACCTCGCCGATCTCCTTCTTCTGGACGTCAAGACGCTTGCTTGGCGGCCGGTGGTCATCGGTGCGGCAATTTGCGTCATAGTCTTTCAAAAGATGAGCGGAACTACTCCGAGCTCGAGCGTGCTCGCCGACGTCGGTTTGTCGCTCCGTTTGCTCGTTCCGTGCCTCCGCGACGTCGACGCGTACATGCATCGTCTGACCCACGACGTCGATTTTTCGCACGCCGATCGAGACTACGCTTCGAACTGCGAAACTCGACACAGCGAACAAGGTCACGCGGAGTGGACGCGTTCCGGGGCAGCCTTTGCAAAATGGAGTTTGGTTGTGCCGCCGGAGAGTAATTTTCCTCTCTCTCACATTCAGCCGTGGCGCGGTCAGTACCGTCCGGACTTCGAACGGTGTCCCATCCGTGGCGGCCCAAATTTCCGGCTGTTAGTCGTTCGTCAGAGGTTTGTTCGTGATATTTTGGCGCTAGAGCTGCCCGAACCGCAGCTTCTAGATACGTACGTGCGCGATCTCGCGACTCACGTCGACGTGCACGCCGAGGATCCTCAACTTGCGACAAAAGAAAAGGTCTTCCTACTCAGGCCCAACGCCGACATCATGTACGCAGACCCCACGCCTCCGTTGCCGACACCCTACGACCAGCCAGTCGACCTTCAGGATGACTCCTGCGTTCCTGTGCGGCTCCGAGGCACCGGCCTGACGAACGAGCACGTGTATCGCAACCAGGGTGCCTTCGCCCTCACCTTGCCCGCCACCGCGGTGAGTTTTCTGAGCTCCGTCCCCGCGCCGTTGCGGACCGTCGCCCGTGTGTGGGACGAGCCCGAGGGCGCGCCCGGCGCGCGCGACGCTCGCTTCGACGGCTTTAGCGAACGCGCGATCCCTCGCCTCGCACTCGTTACCCGTCCGTTGGTCATGAATGCTGCCCCTCCGCACATCGAAGACGACGAAGACGACGACGACGACGACGACGACGACGACGACGACGACATCGACTCCGATTACTAGCGCTGTTATCGCCTGCACAGCGTGCTCTGCCGCGTCGTGAGTCGACTATCCACGTCAATCAACGCATCGCGTGAATGCGAGATCATGGCTACTAAATCCCGTCAACGCGCTGCCTTGCCCGATCGCGCGTCGCATTAGGACCAGCCGCCCCGGCGCACCCCGCTCGCGCCTTATATCATAGTAACCGGCCGTCGCGATGTCGCGTTGCTAAGATGAGACTACGGCGGGCACGCGCCGGCGTCGAACTCGAGTCTGTGCGCCGAGCACGGACGCGTTCGGCTCGCTCGCGTGGCCCGAGCTAGCTCTATCACGCGTCGCCCACGAGCCAGGTGACCCTCGTCTGGCGCACGGGCGACGTGTCACGCCCGTATTTTGCGGCAGGACCGGCTGGCTTAGGAAGGTACCGTCGGTTGCCGTGCAAGATCTTTTCGCATCGGCAAGATGCCGGGGCTGCCCAATTAAGTTGCTAGCAGCGCATGAGAAGCCTATCCGGTCACCGCCAGAGCATCGGCGCTGGGCGACATGATGCCCAATGGCTCACGGACTGACGAGCGCCCTTTGCTAGTGAATCAACGCCACGCACTCTACGCTGCCGCCCGTTGCGGCAGCGGTTGTGCAGCGACCACTGCCCATCTCAAAGAGCGGCTCCGACAGTATCGTGACAATGAACTCAGAGCGAGAGATCTCAGCTTCACGATCTTCCAACCCACGCCTTTTGCCGCGGCCGTCAAATGCGCGCTGCGCCTTAGCGACCAAAGCGGACGCGCCACCGACGAAAGGCAGAGCCTGACGTCGCTACGTCCGTTCTTCGAGCTTGGTGTCGTCAGCGTGACGCGCGAGGAGTTCTACATTGGCCATCTGTTACCAACTCTGGGTGAATCTCAACATGACCAATTCCAGCTATTCGACAGTACATCAGGGCCGCACCTCGTGGATGTCATCACGTTTGCGGCGTTGGACCGACGCAGCGAACTCCTGCGACTGTGCCTCAGGTACAAGGACACAAATTCCAAGCAGGACACCGTGCCATGGCCCTACGCCCGCGTTCCTGGTTTGCGCGTCGTCCAGGTCAACCGCTGTGTCTCGCCTCTGCACTACGCGGCGGCTGGCGGATGCGTCGAATGCATCAAATTGCTCGCTGGCTGCTGCGACGACGCAGTCCGCTCGCCGGACCACACCGCTCTAAAAGTTTCCGTGAGACACGGTCACACCGGCGCGATCGCGCATCTGCTCCGCGCGTATTGCTATTCTTCACGGCAGATCGCGCACGCGTTTCGCTGCGCCATCGCCAGAATCCGTCTCAGTCGTCACGCCTATGTACCCGCCTGTAGTCGACCTATACCAGATTACTACGGCACTATTTTCTTACTCATTCGGTCCGACCTTATCGTCCACCACAGTAACCTCATCTTCGTAGGATCCCATGACCACATTTCGCTCAGCAGCTACATCGAAGATGCTCTCACTGCGGAGCTTAACCGTTTCCGTCGCGGAAGTAAATTGCAGCCGGCTAAACTCGAATTGCTCCGATTCCTCTTGGATGTCGAGCGATACGGCGCGTTCAAGTCGTGGCAGGACTCACAGCTGGGGTACATGTGGAGTCTTAGGACAGCTTATGAATCCAAAACGATCGAGACGTCGGCTGCGACGCTGATGCACGGGTCGACGATCTGCGCGGCCAGAGATACCGGTGACGGCGACGCGGCGCACGCGAGCAAGCGCCCCAAGTCCATCAAGACCCGGTGCCGACCCGCGCCCGCCGTCGCGGACGCGCCCGCCGTCGCGGAGACCGCCGCCCCGGAGACCGACGCCGACGCCGCGCCGGCCGAGGCCGAGGTCGTCGAGGCCGCCCCGGCGAGCCCCGCGGCGCCGCCGGCCGCCGAGGCGGCGCCCGAGCCGGTCGTCGCTACGCCGGTCCGCATCCAGCTTCCTTCGCCCGCGTCCGCGGCCGCGGCCGGGGCGCTATACGTGACGTGCTCGCGCGTCGCGGCCGCGCGGTCGCCGTCCGCGTCGCCCGTCGCGCCCGTGCCCGTCGCGCTTTCGCCGGCGCCCGTCGCCGACGACGAGGCCAAGCCCGCGGCGAAGAAGAAGAAGCGCATCGTCGGCAAGAAGTTCGTGAAACTGCTACTCTCGGATCTTCCCGACGACGTCTTCGGCCGCGTGCTCGACTACTGGCTGAGCTACGACATTGCGCAGAAAAGTCCAACATCCGTTGTCACTCACCAAGAGCCTGAGCCGCCTCTGCGCCGCCTAATAGGCCCTGGGGCTGCTGGATTTCAACTCACCCGTGGAGGACGCGGAAAAGTCGACGTCATGCTCCGGGAGATCCACGGGCCCATGGGCGCGTGGTACGCGGCGGACGGCCGCGCGGCGCTTCGCGCGTCGCACGGAGCCTATCCGGCGAGCGCCGAGGACCTGGAGTCGTGGCCGGCCTTCGAGCAGATCACGCTGGCCTTCCACGTCGAGCGCGACACCATTGCGACGAGCGACCTTTAGCCGGCACACGTCAGTCCGCTCGCTTCGACGAGGTCGGGCGTGTGCCCGACCATTGCGTCGACCCCTATCGTCGGACGCAACACGCTGCTCTCGCACACGCTGTCCTCGGCAGTCGTGCGCGTGTCTCTTGGCGACGCGCGCTTGCTACGCGCTCCCCTTGTATGCCGTGATACCAGCCCCGCCTCCGTAACCCCCATGTTCCCGCCGCCTTCGCTGGGCTAGGCTCTGTCCGGGCTCGCCGTGATCGAGCTCGAATGTAGTTCAACACTAACCCGACTAAGATTGGCAGCATACCAGCGCGCCCGAAAAATTGCGGTGGCGGCACATCGTAGCACAGCGGCGTCATGGTGAACGAGGATTGCGATGTCGTCGACGCTGCTGCGCGCCTAGAGCGCGTCGGCTTCGACGCTCAGGACGATACGTATGCGTGCGCTGAACCAATGCTCGCGGTCAATTCTCTACGCTTCGTCCTGTTTCCCATCGAGCACGACGACATCTGGCAGATGTACAAGCAGGCTGAAGCAAGCTTCTGGACGGCCGAAGAGGTAGACTTGTGTCATGACGTTCAGCACTGGGACACAAAGCTCAATGACAAGGAGCGCCACTTCATCAAGCACGTGCTGGCATTTTTCGCAGCGTCCGACGGCATCGTCAACGAGAATTTAGCCCAGAACTTCGCGACGGAGGTGCAGTGGCCCGAGGCGCGCTGCTTCTACGGCTTCCAGATCGCCATCGAAAACATCCACTCTGAGGTATACAGCCTCCTGATCGACACGTACATCCGCGACGCCCAGAAGAAGCACGAGTGCCTGACGGCCATCGACACCATGCCGTGCGTGGCCGAGAAGGCCCAGTGGGCGCTGCGGTGGTGCGACCCTGATCACGCGTCGTTCACCGAACGGTTGCTTGCATTCGCCGCAGTCGAAGGCATTTTCTTCTCGGGCAGCTTCTGCGCCGTCTTCTGGCTCAAGAAGCGGGGCCTCATGCCCGGGCTCTCCTTCTCCAACGAGCTCATCGCGCGGGACGAAGGGCTGCACTGCGACTTCGCGTGCCTGCTGTACTCGAAGCTCCGGAAGAAACTATCTGACGTCCAAGTCGCCAGCATCGTCGGCGCCGCGGTCGACATCGAGAAGAGCTTTGTCGTGTCGGCGCTACCCGTCGAGCTCATCGGCATGAACTCCAAGTCGATGTGCAAGTACATCGAGTTCTGCGCCGACCGCCTCCTACTGGAGCTCGGCTACTCCACGCTCTACGGCGCGACCAACCCGTTCGATTGGATGGAGCTCATCTCGCTCCAGGGCAAGACGAACTTCTTCGAGAAGCGCGTGGGCGAGTACGCCAAGGCGCGTGTGGACGTACGCGCGCAGCGGCTCGAGTTCCGTCTCGATGATGACTTTTAGCCCCCTACGAAGCTCGGCGCCGTAGATGGGCTAGAAACGCGACCACCCGATCTGCTTGGGCTGCCAGTACCCCCACCAGCCCTTGTCGCTCCGACTACCCTAGCACTCCCCGACGCTAGAGGCTACTCCCGAGCGATCCTAACCAGGCGGGGCCTCGCGCTGATCGTGAAACCCGAGCCGGGTTCGTCGACCGTCGAGGGTCGCTCTCGTCAGCGGCCGTACGTCCCCCCCCCAAAAACTGCACTTCAACATGCAGACGCAAACATGAAAATCGCAAATGGAGTGAGCCGAAAGCTAAGGGGCAGCTCGCAACAACGATGTGGCGCCCGCAGGAGCTTTTTGGTCCCGCCGTCATTCCGTCAATAGAACAGCGCATCGCGGTACGCTCAGCGACGCCGGGGCTGCTCGCACTCGCACAACGCAGGTGAAGACGATGCTTGGACACTACTACAGCGATGCCGATGCTGGGAGCTTCGAGGCAGCCTACTTCGCACTATACTTGGAGCACTTCAACTCGGCGGACCGCTACGTGTCGTTTCTGCGCAGCATGTCCGAGCATGGTGACGGCTTCGAGGCCATCAGCTACGTCATGGTCCAGTCTCAGGTCGAGTACGTCGCACCGAAAGCCGACGGCTGCGGTCCGCGTCACTAGACTGTTCCTCGTCGCTTATCGACGCACGCAGGCATTCCGCCGCACAAGCTCCACCCCGTCACGCACCAACCGTGCGCCACCAACGCCGCTGGTGCCAACATGCTCGAAACGCCGACGATCGCTAGTCGCGGCAACGCGACGGCCGCGCTCCACGCGGCGAACGAGTCCAACGCGCGCGGCTGCGCGACGAGCCACGTCGCGCCCGAGCCCGAGGGGAGCGACGCCGACACCTGCGTCGTCTGCTTGGAGCCGCTCTTGCACGGTCAGGCCTGTGTGCTGCCGTGCGAGCACGCCTTCCACTCCACGTGTGTCGGCGAACTCATCGCTTTCTCCGATCAGACTCGCGCCCTCACGAGAACCTCAGCGAGCATTCACTGCCCCCTGTGCCGCCAGTGTGTTCGCACGCTCCGCCCGACGTGCGCCAACCGCGGTTAGGACACCGACGAGGCGCATTCTTGTCGCACCTACGAGTGTACGAGCGACGCGCGTGCTAGCTTGTAATCACCGTAGCGTGTTACCACGCCGCCCATCTCCGCCGAGAGCATCGAGCGTGTCGCCGCAACCGAACTCGACGCGAGCGTCGTCGACGCGAGCTGCCGCGATGTTCAACGTCGTATTAGCTCGATATGATATAAACATCTTATGATACTGTGACTTGCTCGAAAAAAGAGGCTGCCTCATTTTTTTGTCGGCAGCCCGCGAACGCTAGCCGCACCGACTCGTACGCGATGAACACGACACCGAAGATACTCGAGCGCACCTCCGCGCCGGTAAGCCTGCCTCCATCGTTGCGTGTTCATCTCGACAACCGGCCAGTGCGAGATCAAGAGGAGCAACTGGCAGCAAACCAGTGGTCGTCGACATTTGTATCACAGCCGCCCGTGCGGGCCTGCGCGCGTAACCGCTCCTACCTGGATGACGTCGAAGTCGACGACGTGGAACGTGACGCGCAGACGCCTCACAAGCGTGCACGAGCGGCTCCAACACCTCACGCTGCAGCGCATCCGCATGTCAAGCTCGACTCGCTCCGAACTTACCTGCGAATCCACGGACAAACTGCGACGCTACAAAACTGGACTGTCGAGTTTACTCGACGAGGAGACACGATTTTCGTCGACCCGTCGGGCCAAAGGTACCGATCCCGTCGTCAGGTGCTGGTGTCTTATTCGTCCGAGCGTCCCTCGACGACGCTCTCTTCATCGCACCATGCACCGACGCCCGTCTCAGCAACTATAGGTTCCAATAGCCCGTCTCCGACAGGCAGCTCATCCTCGAGCCTGGTGCTAGAAACTCCGACTAGTCAACTTTCTGGAAATAGCACCACGACGTCTGCGAGCGCCTACGACTGCCCGCTGGTGCCGACAGAACAGCAGGTGCGCGACATTCTGGGGGCTGCAGCTCATCGAGCGGAGCTGGGACGACAGCGATCCGCACTGCTCGCTCGCAAGCTCCTCGACGGCTTCGCGACGCCGTCCGCGGACGCGCGCGTCCTCGAGCAGGCGGCGACGTCCGCCGCTCGCCTGGCCATACTAAGCGAAAACAACGACGCCCTACAAGCCGACCTGCCCTTCGACGGTTTCGAGGCCAACGTCGAGCATATCTTCGACCTCGCCGTGAAGACGTGCGGGCGCTGGCACGAGTTTGCCGTCGTCGCTCGGACTTCGCTCGACGGCAACCCGTCGTCTACCGACCTCGAGCAATTTGTCGCCCGTGTCCTTCGTCGAGCTGCCGAGCACGAGCAGGCGGCACGAGAGCAAGCGCGGGCTCTAGCAGCTGCACTACACGCGCTGCTACTTGCAGATCAATTATGTGCGAACAACGGCCACGACGGGACGTCGACAGCACCCGCGTCGCCACTCGATTTGGCCATTGCCATCTCCCAGTGTGTCACGGCATCGGCGTCCCGGCGAGCAAGTTTTCTGCGTAAAGGCAGCGAAGATTTCAACGTTCCTCTTCGCGTATTGGCGGCGGACCGCGGCTCGTCGAGCTGCAGACGCGTGGCTATGGCTGCCCTCCACATGTACGGACGATTCGTCGACAAACGCGTCGACCTCGCCTGGACGCCTCTCGAGTCCTCGGCCGCCGTCTTCGGCGCTGACGCCACGACAGCTACTACCTGGACGTCTTACAAAGCTGACAAGTGGAAATGGTGCTTTCTAGGCGCGGCGACAGACGACGCTCTGAACGTCGTACTCGTGGAGCTCGCCCGGGCTGCGAACGTGACGGCGGGCCTCGATCCGCGTCATCCGGCAGTGGCGACTGTTCTTGGCGCCATCGCCTCAGCAGAGACCGCGGAACCTGGATTTGGCACCCCGCCGGCGGTCCGAAATGACGTCGACGACGACATAGATTCCTGGTCGTGGGTCGACGATATCGTCGCAGCCGCGATCTCCGTGCATACTCCGACGTCCATTGTTTCGTCTGATCACGTCAACGTCATCTCGTTTCCGCCGCGATCGCTCGACGACGTCGTCCCTGGCGGCATCGTCGTCGTGTACGGCGGCGGTCATAACGCGCTTGCGAATTTGCTCGACGAAGCCGAACTCCTGGGAACAGGCGTCGCAGGCTACGTCTACTTCGACAACAACGCCGAGGCCATTTCGTTGGCGTTGGAACACTGGCCGGAGGATGCCCCCTTTCCTCTCGAAATACCCGGGATGTACGGAGAATGGGCCGCTGGCGACGTGCGACAAATGATCGACCCGGCGAGGCGTGCTGAAATCTTGCGAGGGCGACGCGTCATGTTCGTTCTCAATTCGCCAGGATGTCGGCTGCACGCGCGCGTGAATCGAAATCGCACGTCGGCGGATACTGGCGACCTGGATCTCTTCCTCGAAGCCGAGCGCGAGCTGATCGCTGACGCTCGCCGGGCGGGCGTGGCTCCGCCCCACGGTGCTCTCGAGGCCGGCGACGCACCGCCCCACGTCGCGGCGGTCATTAGTAATGTGCTCGAGCGCGCGGTCTTTCGCCGCGACGCAGCCGCAGTATCGGCCGTACGTCGCCTGCGCACCTTCGCCACGAGCTACGCTGTGCGGTCCATTGGACCAAGTCAGCGCGCCCTGTTGCCCTCGGATGTCCTCAACGCGTACCTCGACGAGCACGGCGACGACGCGCTTTTACCGGAGTGGGGACGAGGGTTCTCGCTCTACGACACCGGCAAAGCACGAACGCCTCGTGCGTTTGCTCCGCCTCCCGCGGGGCCGCTCGAGCAAGCTCCAGCGGCCGCTTTGGCTCGAGCGCACGGCGGGATCAATTTCGTCGCGCCACCGTCGCACGCCGGCGAGCCGCTGCGCTATCACGCGCTTGGCCTCAAGGCGACGACGGTGCTGATGGGCTACACCGCCGATCGCTTCACGCGGTCACCCGGCCTCGCGAACAACTTTGCAGCGTCCTGGAGAGCGCTCGGAAACACGATCGAACGCAAATCGTTGGCTTCGATCGTTTCGCCTTGGATCGTCGCGCTCAAAGCGGCACTGCTAAGATCGAACGCACACGCGTCGTAGCAAAACATCATCAGAGACGGACTCGCCAGCTCAATCTACCTACGCTCGCGCACCTGGTGTTTATCCTGCCTCCCGCTCAACCCTTTCGAATCGATCGAGCCTCCCTCCCCCTCGCCGACCCCCTCGCGAGACTGCTAGTCACCATCGGACACCCAGCAGCCCGCCTCAAACTAAGCCGAACGAAACGTCAACTGGCCGGCACCCGTGTCGACACGGCGTCCTAGTCCTAAAGCATTAGTCCGTGTCACGGCTGCGCGCGCGTCGGCTCGTCGCGGCTGCCGGTTCGAACCGGATCGTTGTGAACGCGCCGACTAGCTCGTCGGGCATCCGCCCGAGAGGGCATCTCAGCCACAGCGGAATGAATTATTACCAGCGCGACGAGCCGGGTAGGGAGTCGCGCGAGACGGCGCCGCCGTTGGCGCGTGAGAGGATGCGTAGGACAACTCCGCCATCGTCGGAACCCAACTACCTAGCGTCGGCGACCGCGCGACGGCGGTGCCTCCATGTCCACTCTGATCGGAGCAGTCGTCAAACAGTCACGGGGCGGTACGTGCACGTCGTCGTCTGCACGACGAGGTTCGCGACGGCGTCGAACAGGACGACGTAGTCAGTGTCGGTGGGGTACAAGATGTTGTGGAACATGTCGACGTCGACGCTGTCGTAAACGCCGAAATCTCCGGACCGGCGCCGCAGGCATCCTATGATCTGCAGCGACTGCGTGCACGCGCCTGCGACGGCGAGCGAAATCGATTACTCGGGCAAGACGGGACCTCGAAGGCGCTCCGCCAGCGCATCGCCGAAGAAAAACACGAGATCATCGTCGTCGGCAAGTTCGATGTCTCGCA